ATTTTCAGGAAATGTGTGCCAGTATTGGAGTAGATCCATTATCATCAGGTAAAGGTTTCTGGTCTGTATTAGGAATAGGAGATTTTTATTATGAATTAGCAGTACAAATAGTAGAAGTCTGTTTATCTACAACAGCAAAGAATGGAGGCCTAATAAGTTTAGATGAGCTAAGAACAAGATTAATTAAAGCTAGAGGTCAAAGTAAAACCCATCAAGAAATTACAAAAGATGATTTAATTAGAGCTGCCCGTAAATTGAAAATATTTGGAAATGGATTTAATGTTATACCCATGGGAAAAGACAGATATATGGTTCGTAAATTTTATTATTTTTGTTTTTCTCAAAAAGATATAGCATATTTGTTTTTAAAATATTCCCTGAAATATATGGTTTAATTATTTTTTAATAAGTAGCAAATTATACACCTGCACATAATTTGAATTTTAAATTATAAAATATATAAATTGATTTAATATAGAGTTTAAAAACTTTATCAATAGTAAATATCAAAAAGTTTGTAACTTCATTCTGACAAATTTTCAAAACAAGAGGAAGAAGAAAGGGAATGATGCAGTATTAATGTTTTGGCTTAAATTATTCATCATTCAATCTTCGTTTGTCCACTGCTGGCATAGATTTCCATCATAATTGTCCATCTGTTTCGATTTTGTGCCTCTTGCATCCAATATCCTATGGCAACATTTTAGACCGTCTGTTCAACATATTAGTGGACAACCTCTGCTTCGGTATGCATCATCTCTTGGTCTCTATGAGACCAAGAAGCTAAGCAAATTTGATTTTGATTCAGAAGCATGTATGTTTATGAGGTCATATCTTTTTGATAGGTTAAATCAAGTTAAAGTGGGGAACAGTTTATCTAAGCCATTTATGTTGACATCAGGTGTACCACAAGGTAGCAACTTGGGTCCTCTTCTGTTCGCTATATTTATTAACGATTTTCCTCACTGTGTGAAGTTTGCAGATGATTTTAAGATTTTTCGAGAAATTTCAACTCTGCAGGACTCTGAGATGCTGCAATGTGATCTGAACTCAGTAAGTCAATGGATTGATGATAACAAAATGTTTTTAAACACTTTTAAATGTCATGTTTTTACTATCACTCGAAAAACATAATACATCACATCAGAACATCATACAGAACATCAGTGAACATCGGTGAGTACCATGCTTACAATATTCCTACATTGATCTTGGTTTTGGGCTACATGTAGCAATTGGTCTGTTGTAAAACCTATCCACTGTAGTAAATTTCTCAACCAGGAGAGTTTCTTCCCCATATCCATTTCTATGACATTCGAAGAAATACAATATATGTTAAAGGTTAATGTTACTGTTGTAAAGGGTAATGTAATGTTGTGGAACCATAGACATATAATAAAACTAGACTGAGCGCTGCAATACAGGCCCATCCCACCAGTGCAACAAAAAAAACTGACACAAAGCCGGGTCCTTGCATCTCTTTCTAATTAGGCAGAGTTTATTGGTCACCAGTCCAAGCACAAGTGAAGGGAAGGTAAACTGGAAACTCGATATTGTTATTCTGTATGCAAAGAAAAGCCAGCATTATATGTACAAAATTGTTTTCAGACATATAATAGATAACATTTTTTACTGTTATTTTATTTGTCTGATATATTAGTTGTTTGCTGTCTGTGTATACTAGTTGGTATCCAGTTTCTAGTAGCCAACTATGACTTATCTCGTCATAGTTGGCTACCAGAGGTAATTGATTCTCATTCTTCTAGATTATCAAGTTTTATTCCTTCTCAAAAGTAACATAATCCCTAAAAGTTATTTTTGTTTGTTAATTATTGCATTATAAATGTCTGTTTGATAAAACTTGAAATAAAATAAATTTTTAGGTCCAATCTGTACCTGGTGAACTTAATATGGATCATTCAGTCTTGCTTCAGCAAGCGGAGAAAAATAAAGCTTGTGTATCTGCATCACATTTAATCAGTGAACTAAACTGGGAAAGACAAAGAGCAGAAAAGGCTTTAGAACATATGATTAACCAAGGACTGGCCTGGATTGATTCACAACATCCTGAAGAACCTCAATACTATTTTCCTAGTCTGTACACTGCCTGTATAAACTCAAATGCTTGAACACTTACTTACAATTATAAATGTTTATTTTTATATTTTCTGTCCACAATTTTAATAAAAAGCAGCATGTTTAATTTATAATAGACTTTTGTATGAAATAAACTATAGTTAGAACCAGTAAAATATACATTTTTTAAGATTATTTTTAAATTAGCAATCAGAATACAATGTTCAATAAAGGCTAGTGTTGACTTTAGAGCACATTACTGCTACTGTTTGACGTGATAAGGCCTTCTCCATTGACAAGTCTTCTTCAAGCTTTTGTAGGTTTACTGGACACTTCCTTTTGAGTCTTCTGGTATGGGCTGTAGATGTGAACTAGCAAATTTGTATGGGCTTGTAATTTATTATAGTGTTTTGTGTTTGTGTCTTTGAATGGCATCTTTCAACATAATCTAATTTTAGGTCTTCATGTAGTGTTTAAATGACGACATGCGTTGGTGCATCTGTTATCATGCAGAGTATTTTGAATTGCCTTTTTGTATAATACAGCTGTCCGACTTGCTTGTGCATCCCCATATATCCAGATGGGTTTTATGATTGTTTTATAAATAAGAGTTTATTTTCTAATGATACTTTTGACTTTCTACTAGTAAATATCTTTTACTTTTAATAATCTGTTTGTATTTTTTGGTTAAGCATTCTTTACAGGTTAGTCATTTATCCAGGTGAATTTCTAAATATTTCATGTTTGTGGATTGTGGTATTTGTATGTTGTTTAGTTACACTTTAGTTACATGTTTCTTTAATTTTGATTTTCATTTTGTTTGTGATCGGCAAATGTACCTATGGTGGTTTCCCTAGTAACAGGTAGATATATTGTCTTTACGTGGTCTTCCTACTGATAGTCTTCCTATTGGACCGTCTCTGCCTTTTACTTTCTTACTTTGTTTCTAATATACTTTTTGTCCTCTATGTGTCGGTCGTGTTTCTGCTGCATATATCATAATTGGTCTGATGACTCTTTTGTAAATTCTGCCTTTCATTTCTTTTCCGATATTTTTATGTTTCCATATTATTTCGTGCAGGCAACCTGCGGCTCTGTTTGCTCAATTCACTTGATCTTCCACTTCTGTTCGAGCTTTCCGTAGCTAGACAATGTGATGCCTAGATATTTAAACTCCATCACTTGTTCTATTATCTGACCTTCCGCTCCAATTTATATCTTAGTAAATTTGTTGTTATGCATTTTGTCTTTTTTGGGGAATTCATGTTAAATTTTCTGGTGGTTATATTAAATTGGTGCAGTATATGTTGTAAATCATCTTCACTCTCAGTTAGTAGTATTGTGTCAGCTCATTGCAGATTATTTTAAGCTGTTTTCTCCCATTTGGTACCCGTTTTTAGTTCTTACTTTTTTATTATTTCATTCATAATCAGGTTGAACAATAGAGGACTCGGGGAATCTCCATGTCTTATCCCATTACCAGCTTCAATAGGATCAGTTAGATCTTCTTACTTTTAATTTTATTGTTTGTTTTGGTAGATATTTTCGATCGATTTACCCGATCCTTTTATTTAACGTCCTTTAATTTGACCCGATCAAATCCCTTCTTAAGGTCCACAAAACATAGATATGCCGGTTTATTGTGTTCTAATGATTTTTCGTGCACTTGCCTCTTTATATATATGGAGTCGGTGCATTATCTTTCCGAGCCAAAACGGTTCTTTCCCCTTTTATCGATCGACGTTTTGCCAGTTGTTCTTAAAAATGTTTTTATTGTATATAATCGGAACGTTTTAATTTAAAACAGTGATTGAAAACGCTTTAAAACATACTGGCACCTACCTCTGAGCGTCAACAAGATAGAGAACTGCTAAAGACTGTTAAACATCGAAAAATGTCCTATCTGGGACATATAGTAAGGGAAGTAGATATAAAATTTTACAACTGATCCTTAAAGGCAAAATAGAGGGCCGTAGAGCTGTAGGAAGAAAACAAGTTTCTTGGTTAAAAAACATTCGTGAATGGACTCAGATACCAAATGCAGGATAATTATTTCATATTGCAGAAGATCGAGAAGCCTTCGCAATGATGATCGCCAACGTCGCATAATTCTGATATGGCACGCAAAGAAGAAGAAGAGAATAGTAAAAACAGCAATTTTGTTGATTAATATAAAGCTTCGCGTTGGTCTACAGTACAGCCCATTAAACCCTTTTTTTAATTTAAACTGAAACTATTGCTTTTATACATTGTTTTCCCGATGTATAGCTGTTAGCTTCCGCTAATCACGCTGCGCTAAGTTTCCCGCATTGGCAAATCGGCTTTTTTTTAAATCTAAACTAAACGATGGAAAGCTATGTATCATTACAAAACACCATTTGTGTATATCTAAACCCCTCGATAATAACATCTTAAATTGCCAGAACGATAGAAAAATTTGTATATATATATATATTATATATATATATTATATATATATATATATATATATAGCCTTTTTTAATTTTCTGTACACCGAGCCAGAGCTTGAACGCACATCCACTTAACCATTCGACAGTGAAGCGAATGAGAGTCGGCCGCCTTACCCGCTTGGCTATCTGACCGACTATATAATATAAAATTTGTATACTTGCAAATGCAAATGATAATTACACTATAAAAATACTAGTAACGACGACTAAAGTTGCGTGTAATAATTGCTTAAACCTAACAATAAAGTATGATATATAAATACTTACTGCTTGCCAAATATTCAATACATTGTCATTTCCTCCACTCGCAAAATATTTTCCATCAGGAGACCATTTCAATCCACATACTTCCTGAGTATGTCCAGAAAGTGTTGCTATTTGATGATCCCTTTGTCTAACATCGTGATGTATAATTTGACCACTACGGCAGCCTGTCGATAAAACAAAGGAATTCCAAGCCAAAGATCCAAACTCTAGCAGAGTGACCCTCCATAATCCTTAATTTTTTGGATCTTGAGCAATCCCATAATTCAACAGTTCCTTTTAAAATAAAAATGAAAATAGATTTATATATAATATATATATATATATATATATATATATATTATATATATATTATATATTATATATATATATATATTATATATATATATATATATATTATTATATTATATATATATATATATATATATATATATATATATATATGATTTAATGTTAGAAATGTTTAAAACTATACCGTTGGTTGTTCCTACAGCTAAGCAATGTCCTTCTTGTATCCAAGCTAAGGAGCAAACGTAGTCGTTACCTTCTAATTCTAATAATTGTTCAATGTTTCCTGTACTGTAATATAATGCAATAGCAAGGTCATATAACAAGCATTTTTCAGTTTTATAAGGTTATAAGTTTATTATTCAAAGTCTACACTCTTGACACACTGTCAATCAATTTACTGTAATGTATCACATACAGTACATGTACAGCTGTACACGTGGAAATCCCCTCAAGACAAACCCGGTAGTAATATGGGAATCAAATAGACTACATTTTAGTAAATAAAAGATTCAGAAACAGCTTTACATCTGTCAAAACTTATCCTGGAGCAGGACTTGGAGACAGACCACGTTCCACTGGTGAAGAAATGGTTTTACTTCGAGTCAAACACAAAACAGTGCAGAAAATAAAAGCACAATCGCATGCTGAAAGACCTTGTTACGAAGATGAGAGTCCAAGCCACATTAAACGAGCAAGTGACTGCAATTAGAGACGAATCGAACGAAGAACAAACAATCAAACAAATTACAGAAATAGTGCAAAATGTAAAGGATAAACACTTAAAGACTGATAGATTAATGAAGAAAAATCATGAATGGCAGATGAGATCCTGAAACTAATGGAGGAGAGAAGAGAAGCCAAAAATGACCCAGACAAATATAAAACCATAAATATATTAATAAGAACGAAAATCAGAGAAGCGAAAGAAAAAGAAGCAAGGGAAAGATGCGAAGAAATTGAGACTCTGCAGTCAAAGTACAATAGTCACAATGTACATAGGAAAGTTAAAGAACTCACAGGAGGACTAAGACGAAAGCAGAAAGGAAATATAACTGATTCTGACGGAAACATCATCTTGGACAAACAGAGTAAAATAACAAGTGGAAAGAGTATCTAGAAAAACTATTTGAAGACCAAAGAGATAACATCTTTGAGCTAGAAGAAGAGGTAAATGATGGACCAAGAATATTACAGCAAGGAAGTTTATTCCGCAATAACACAGTTAAAGGATGGCAAAGCGGCAGGCCCTGATAATATACAAGCAGAACTACTCAAACTAATGGACAACAAATCAATAGCAATAATCGCAAAGATATTCAACAACATATACAACTCTGAAGAAATACCAACAGAATGGCTGAAATCTGAGTTTATTGCACTTCCAAAAAAACCAGGAGCCAAAAAATGCGAAGAAGATTAGCATGTACTATAAGCCTAAGAGAATCTACAAGCTCTGTAAAAGTCAAATTTCCCCCAACCAGTTCGGGTTCACAAATGCTGTTGGTACTAGAGAGGCTTTGTTGTCAGTACAAGTCTTATTTCAGAGATGCAGAGACGTCAACTGCGACGTATACGCATGTCTGGTGGATTACGAGAAAGCGTTTGATCGAGTAAAGCACGCCAAGATGATGCAAATACTAAAAGAAGCAGGAATTAACAACCAAAATCTGAAAATAATTAGAAATCTTTACTGGAATCAGACAGCAAATCTCAGAGTTGAAGGTGAACACAATGACTATGTGAAAATCATGCGTGGAGTGAGGCAAGGCTGTATTTTGTCTCCTCTAATCTTCAATCTGTACTCTGAAAGAATATTTATCGAAGCTTTGCACGAAACTGAAAAAGGTATTCTACTAAATGGTTACCGGCTAAACATCAGATATGCAGATGACACATAGTATTTGCGGACAACTTAGAAGACCTACAAGTTCTTATGAACAAAATCACGTATTACAGTCAACAATATGGACTCAATATAAACGTTAAGAAGACAAAGCTTATGATAATTAGCAAGAAAATGATAACAG